ATTTTTTAAGCATACTTGTGGTCAGCTGATTAAGGTAAGTGACATTTTGACCAGTTTTGGCTTTTTTTGTTTATTTAATGCTAGTATTTTTTTTGGTCTAGCACATTACATGACCAGCACCATACGAATCAAACTTCGTACAAAAATTATAAAATTAAACAAACTTTAAAAACTACACCCAAAAATTTTAAACTTTTTCTTCAGAGTTAAGGTACGCAGTTTTATAGCCCATTGAATTTTAGTAGGATAAAGTGCAAGTTTAAAGACGCTAGAAAATGATGTCGGTTTTTAATATTTATTTTTGGCGGTGGTGTTGTGCATTTTCTTCCATACCCAGTAAGAAAAAGGAAGGAGTAAACAGCAATTACAGAAGGCCTTCTCTTGAATGTAGGGGCCTTATCATCTGCATGATTTCCTTAATGAATTAGGCCCAATTGCTAGACATTGCGTTTCTGGTTTCGGGAGAATAGCTCATAGAAGGCTTTATTTTTAATAAAAAAAATTAAAAGCTAACAAATAAAAGCAAACATCTCTGCGCACTCAGCTACAGCCACAACGTGTAAATGTTTTTTGCAATTTTTATTTGAACACAATCTTTTACAATCGTTTAAACAAACTTATTTTCAAACGTGTGTAGCTCATGTCGGTTTATTTGCTTAAAACGTTGCGTGCTCACTTCTCGAGAAGGAGCGCAGGAAGCACTCTGTTCCAGGGTAGCCAAACCATTTTTGAGAATTCCCCGATTTCGACAATGAAATTTCCCGATTTTGCCCGAAATTTCGTAAAATTTCCCAGCCGTAGATATCTCTTTATTCACAAAAAAAAAACACAAAAATTTAATGTATTTGGATATTTTGCTGGCCTTTCTGTTTTATTCATAAACCAAACCAAACTTTTATAAAGTCAGTTATCAAATAAATAAAAAAAAAATGTTTATATAACATTTACGTAAATACAGTGGTCGAATAAAATTTAGTCGCACCAATTATTTTTATTTTGTTATTTAATTAAAGTTATTTTTTCATAAAAATATGGATCATTCTTTAAGAAATACCGTATAAATCCAAGTTTGAAACTTTGTGCAATATTTGAAAAAAAATGCAACAAACTTTTGAAAAAATTTCTAGGTTTATAACTAGATTTTCTAGAAAGATTATGAGTATGCCGTTTTGTAGCCCACTCAATTCTATTATAATAAATTGCAAGCTTCAAGTATCTAAAAACTTTCGTTTTAGAATTTTTTTGTCGAAGTTTTTGCGATTTTCTTCCATATGAAAATAAACTACATACGTTTATTCGTTATATAAAAGCAAATGCTACAAGCAAAATTCTAAGAAATTAACGGTAATTTTTGGCCATTTGAAACTTTATTATACTAGAATTGAACGAGCTGAAATTCATCCAAAAAACGACTCATTCTCCGATTCACCACGCAAACTGAAATTCCCTGCATATCGGGAAATTCCCCACGAGGTTGGCTTCCCTGCTCTGTTCGTAGCGAAGTTTAGATATGTTTTGCGCTTGCTTAGCAGCTGTTCTGTAATACCTTATCAAAGGAAGGCCCTGACAAAATTGCTTCTGGGTATAAAGTATGCTCGACAATTACTTTTATATGGATGAAAATGCCTAGCACCATCAGTAAAAAATGTTCAAAACGTCACTTAAATTAATCGGCTGACCACAAGAGTACCTGCTAGCTAAAAACCAAGATTTTCCCTAGAAAAGTTTGCTTAACAATAAAAATGGTCTCTTCGAAAAATATTTAAAATCTGATAACGGAAAGACGTTTCGCAGATGGCCGAAAGTTGCACAAACTTATGCAATTTTTTACAGCTTAAGCCTAAAAGGCTTAGCAACAACCTACCGTGAAAAAAGTTTTAACTTTTTGGTTACAAGTTTTATTATACTGCATTTGACTTTATGTATGACTTCGAATATAATTTTGCAGAGACCTAAAGTAAAATTTAACGAAACATTTTTTCGTATAGCATTTTAACACTTATCTCCTACCATATCGGCATCTTTGACAACAATAATATGCATTTAAATGTTTTATATAAAATATGTAAATCTGGAAATTTTACCAAGAGGCACTGAAGATGAAAAAATAAATATGAAATGTTTCATACTAATTATGTATAGTAAAAATTGTAAAAGTGCAAATGAAAAAGTACTCAGCTAACGCTCATATTGTTCTTCATCAAAATACTGTTTCGAACAGATGTTTCCCAATGGATGGGCAACTTGAAAATCAGCTTAGTTACTTCTAGAGGACATGGAATTTGTAATTTTTCACTTTATCGACAGTTTATGTATTTATTTATACTATGACGTCAAATAAAAGATTTAAAAACAAAACATAAAACTCGGGAACGAAAGGTTTAAGAAGCAATTTATAAACAGATTCGAAGTAGAATTACACTGGATTACAAATTTTAGTTAGGTTTTTGTTCTCCAGACGCCTGTATCCAATTTCTATGTTTATTCAGCTTAAAAAAAAGTGGTTCCACTTAATCACATATATCTTACGAACCAATTTAAAGTTCATATTTTTTTTTTATTTTTTTTATGAAAAAATCAAACTTCAACAGAAAGAAAATTGAAAAAATAATAGATTTTCTGCAAAGTTTTTGCATTTGTGCTAAAGCCTGTTCTGCTACAAAAAAAAAAATCAAATTACTAATGAAGGAAAGCGAGGAATAAATAAAGAAGTATTGAGTGGTCAAATGAAAATACGCAAAGATTTTGTTGGAATTATACATAGATATTGGATAGTGGCATCCATTGAACATTTTTGCAGTAAACCAGTTTTGTTTTTTGTTTTCATAGACCTACACTAAATTTAGAGGGCAACTTTTTGAAACATTGGAACTTTTCTACTTTGAACAACTTTTTGATGGATTAAACTGGAGTAGTCAACTTTTTATAAAAAACGTCGTATCAAGGTGTAATAGGTGGTTTAGAGGCTGAAGTTAAACGCCTAAAAGGCGCGCTTACATACAGATAAATGATCACAGAAGTCAATCGGGATGAAGTGGCTTATGTTGCTTTCAAAGTAAACGTCTCATATAGTACTTATAGAATTTTTTCAATGTTATGCCTCACTTTAAAATTGGATTGACACCGAAATCCCTTATAAGTAAAATTTCAAAATATCAAGCTAGGTTCCGTAATTACAAATTGTTTTACATATGTACATATATGAAAAATTATTCTATCTACGGATTTACTTTCTCAATACCCATTCGAAATTGTGAGTTGAAAACATAATTTTTTTTTTGGGTATGTTTGAAAATGTTCACATGGTGTGTTTGTAGGATACTGAATACAGAATTTCACAATCAGTAAATTTCTAGTAAACAATCCCCGGATGCTTCTAATACCGAAACAAGAAAAATCTGAAATTTTATGCAGTATCTCTGTTAAGGTATACAGCGGAAAAATGTGGCACATTGCCGAAACCCGTTTGTTTCCAAACCAAATTGACAAGGAATGACAGAAATTCATTCCAAAATTCATAATTTTCTCAGCCTGTTGGAAGAATGCAGCAACACAAAAAAGTTGGTACATTTTTATAACAAATAACCGTTAACCGACGTCTATATATTTTTTTAAGGAAATGTGGTACCTCAAAGGTGGTCCCATACTAATTTGGTTTAGATACGATCATTGGATCATGAAGAAATTAACGGTAATCTAAAACTTTTATATGAGAATTGTAGTGGGTTTTGTGTTTTGCTAAAAACTACTTGTTCAGTTAGCGTTGGCAAAAATAATAACTTTCAATGGAAAGAAAATGTTTTCCCTCACTTTTTTTAAAATGTAAGTTTAAAGTAGCTAGGGGTTACCGTTGGTTTCCGGGAATTTTTTTAGTAGAATGTATCCCTACAAAAAATGTGTCATACGAAAATTTTTCGCAAATAACGAAACGACCAAAAAAAAAAACAAAAAATATTCGAAAAAATAAAAATCATAAAGTAACGACTGAAAATGATCGGCAAAATAAAAATTCAAGATAGAAACAATAAAAATCATAGAAAAACGATTTGAAACGAGCCGTAAGAATATGAATAAAAAATAACGATTTCGCAATGACTTTAAAACAAAAATCCGACATAATAACGATTATTTTCGGTCCTTGACTAATAGGGCCACACGGTTTTTTATTGGTTATATTTGATTGTTTATAAAAAATAGCGAAACAAATTGGATCGAACAATGGGACAGAAATAAAAAAATAATGGTTTTATTTGCGTATAAGGTTTGCTTAACAATATTCAGTGCGATCTTCATATTTTGAAAAATAACTAGGGCAACAAGAAAATTATAAGTTTAGCAGGTGATACTAAAATAAAAACAAAAAATAAAAGATAAAAAGATCGAAAACAAAGAAAGAGAGAAAAAATAACCCGACTTCAATAAATGTTTGGGTTATCAGTTTGACTTGGTATCCCACTAACAATTTCCACTCTCGTAAAATTTCACTATGATTTTTTTTTATATTTATCTTCACAATGAACCTGCAACCTAAAAACCTGCTAAAATTTGGCAATAATCATGGCCAGGGAACGGATTTTATGGAAATTGTCCTTTTTCAGCTAAAGAGAGAGTATATTGGATTGAGAATGTCCACGGTTTAGTTTTCCCTGATTCCATCCATATATACACATTTGGTGTTGCATTTTTTTGTTTTTTTTTTAAGGTATTTGTCTTTTTTTGTTTTTCTACCTAACTAGTTCGTAGGTTTTTTACATTTTACTTGTAAAATAAATATTTCTAAAAAGTAAATTTTGATTGTTTTTCGATTTTTGTCTTTTTTAGTGCCTTCCTTTGCCTTTTTTGCGGTTTCTAGTGCCTTTTCTTCCCTACTTCGCTATTTTATTTTGCCTTTTTTTTATAGGGTTTTAGGTCCTAAAAATCCGTTCCCTGATCATGACATATGACTGATTTTCCACATGAATGATGAGTGATCATTCGCCATTGCGGCTGAGCAAACTGACCTCTTTGTTGAGTAATTTGCTGACTTTGGACGGTGCGTTGTTCGGTGCGGCTAATCCTTTGTTGCTGCTGCTGCATGCTCGAGTATTGTTGTTGACTCGAGAATTGTTGCATTTCTTGATGAGACTGCGACTGCGACTGCGATTGCGATTGCGATTGCAGCTGTTGCTGCTGTTGAAGCGGATTCGAATTTTCTCGTTGCATTTTCGTTATATAACACTAGTTATAGCGCATTTAAAATGATAACTGAAGGTATTTAGTGACTTGCAGTGCAGCTAACTCACTGAATATTATGTTATCGGATAGATATAAGACTGGACGTTGATGGTTGCGGTGCGATGCAAACCAAAAAGATGCCACTTAAGTGTAACTATCCGATTTTAAACACTATGTGATTTTTTCTACAGCTGCTTCTTTTTTATGTGTTGACTGATTTCACTAGCTATTTATATGTATATCTTTATTTTTTTTCACTTCAAAACACAGATTTATCGCTTTTCGTAGGTGCTGAAAAAGAAAAAAAGAGAATTTGAAAATTACACTAAGGGTTTTACATTGAACTTAATTGTTTTGGGACACAGATTTTTTTTAATTGTATTGTAATTTAATTATCACTTTGCTGAACTTTTTAATTTTATATTTTTATTCACAGTTTTTTATTACTCTCCACTTGAATTTTTTTAATTTTATTTTATTTATAAATATCAGTGTTAAGTTCAGTGCACATATGCTACGCTGCTGTGCGAAATTCGCCACGAACTGAAGATAAAATACATATGCACACTTTATTGGATAAATATTTCTATTTTCGAAAAATTATTCTGTCGCAGGCCGTCCTTTTCGTATTCCTGCGCTGCAAGTTATTTTCCATCTCATTTGTGTACGAAAATATAACACCGATCACTGTTGGCCACACAAACACAAACAGGCGCTGGCTACACGTACAAACACAAACTCAGGCACAGCAGCTTTTGCTTCTTAATTTTCAGTGGCTATTTTTAAAAATTGACAATTCAGTTAATTTTAAGAGAATTGTAAAATCTCTGCGAGCACTGCAAACTTCAGTTTTTTTTTTTAATCAAAATTATAACCAAGGTTTTTCGGTTCGATTAGAATTATTGTTGCATGGAAAAATACACAGCACTGTTATCCTTTAGCAGTAGTTCCTTAAAAGTTTATGTTATCCTTGTTTGTGTTATTGTTTTATCGATTTTATTGATCCTTGCAATACACGTTCATACATACAATATGTATGTACATATGTACAATGTACATATGTAGGTATTTATACATATACATATAAATATGTATTTTAATAAAATAAATTAATAAGCATATATGTATGTATGCATGTACACATAAGTAAACGCATACGAGTATGCAGTATGGCCGAGTGCAACACTTCGGCTGCGAAACGGATCCGGATCAACCGATTTACCCACAAACCGAGCAACCGCACAACCTACCGACCGACCGAGCGATAGCCCGTTGCTCAGCTTGACCAAGTGCGACCGAGCGCACGAGCAACGAGCGCGCAGTTCGTATATGGCACGATCACCCACCATCAGCTGGCCGAGCTCACCGAGCGACCGTTCGCATGCCCACCAGTGTATCGATTCTTTTTTTAGATATTCAGCGCAGCGAAAAATATTTTCTTCATAAAATTTTGTTACGAAACCAAAAATTTTTCAATATTTTAAATTTTTCACTGCAAAAATTTTGAGGAATTTTTTCACATTATTTCTTTATCACAGTTGTTCAACACTTGCAAATCCTTATTTACTTCTTATACTCTTTTAACTGCTTACTTTCGTTATCCTTTGCGCCGTTATAGTGCAATTTTTATCGCGTTAAAATTATATTTTGTATTTTCCGTTTGAAATAAACTCTCTTTTTCACCTCAGTTATAATACAAATTATACGAAAACTCTATGTAAATTATTATTTTTCCAAATATATATATATATATATATACTATATATGTGCGCGTATGAAAAACTTAAATCTCAGAAATTAAAAATCTTCTGGTTTAAGTCATAATCCCCGAGACTGAAACCAAGACGTCGATCGTTTTTGAGGTGCGAGCGAAGAATGACACAAGATCTTTCCAATTGCGATCAAATAGCTCGATCAGTTGTTGGCTCGTATTCAGTTTTATGGGTGTATGTGTGTGTAGCATGAGTGAGTTTACAGCGTGTAAGAGTACTTTCTTCATTCGGTGGATAATTCGTGTCGCTTCGTTGTAGCTTGTTGCTATTTGTGTTGTGTTTTTGTTGTTTGTTGGAAAACTCATCGATTTTATTTTTGGGAAATTCGTCGGATGCACAGCACTGTTGGAGGCCAATTGCTGGGACTTATTTTAATGATGATAAATTTTTCTTGGTATTGCTCTCAAGAGTTTAGAATTTAGTTTGTAAATTATTTTATACGAGACTGCAGGCGCGAGTGCAGACGAAGGAGCCTCCTATTCTTAACTGCTGTTATATAGTCATAAGTATACGACACTCACACTCACTCACTTGACTAGATTTGACTATTTATATTATTATTTTAATTTAAATTAGTTTTCCTTTAAAAGTATAGTTTCTTCTTTAACAAAAAAAGATATAAATCTAAGTTTAAACGTTGTGCAATATTTAACCTAAAATCAAGTAACCTTCCTAAATATTTCGACCTTTTTAATTAGATTCCTTAGGAAGATTTTGAGTATACACTTTTGTAGCCCATTCAATATAATAAAGTGAAAGTTTGAAGTAGCTGGAACTTATCGTTGATTTTTGGCGATTTTTTTTACGATGTTAGTCATTTTTACAAATATGTTCGACGATTTTTTATATGGCGCAAATGATAAATGAGTTTAACTACATATAAGGGCCGGTTTCTCAATGTCTGGCTAACACTTATCTTCGGTTAAACATAGTTATCGACGTTACCGTTACTTCCTGTTGTATGCTTGGAGTCGAAAACGTCGATAACGATGTTTAACCGCAGATTAGTGTGAACCAGACAAATGTGGGAATGACATTAAAAAAATTCACGTCGCCATCGACAAAGGTATATAGATAATGAAGATAATAAATTGGAAGCTGTGGGCCGTGGCCCATCGTAACCTGGTTTTATATGATTTTTTTGTTTTATAAATTTTTATAAACAAATAATTTGAATTTACAAATACAAAAGTGCCCAAAATAAATCGGTCTAAAGTATACTTGCTTTTAGATCTACCTAAATATCTGTGCCTTTAAAATCTAATTGATAAACAATTTTTATTTTAAGCTATATCTACATATATGTAACCTAGAGTTTTTTTCTAAAATCTTCACATCTTTTTAGCTTTTAAAAATCCAAAAGGCGAGAGCATTAGTCAGTGCAGTGAGAGAGATACGACCAAAGGATTTCTGTTCTCAGTTCTGTCATATTATTCGGCACTTTGCCTCATTTGAAACATGTGTTTGTATGTATGAATTCAAAAGTCTTCGGTATTGAGTTGAATAACTAAAAATAATTATGTGATTTATTTTTGAAAAATATTTTTCAAGATTTGCTGGGGGGGTATTCCATGAGTAAGTGAAACTTTGTGTCCAATTGTAGAGTAGCTTATTGAACATGGAATGCTTGATGAATCAATGCTCAATACCTGAAATTAACGTTTTTTCGAAAAAAAATTTAGTTATATTATTTTATTACACTGTAAATACACTCAAAACTTCAACATTAGAAAAGTAGTTGAATACGACAACATATTTTAATATAGAAGGCTCTGCAAAATCAAGTATTCACAAAGTTATTATTTTTTTGAAGGGGGGAATAAATGTCTCGATCTTTCTGCGCCCCGAAGAAGCAATATGGCATTGAAGAAAAATAGGCATTTAAATTATATAATAGGATAAAATCACTACGGTTTAGCATGTCCAACCCGTGACTAAAAAGTTTTAAACTTCGTATTGCTTAGTTACTACTTTAGGGAGTTTTCTATAATTTCATAACTAGAGTGTGTTTATACTAAGCAGCCCTATTTCATTTCTTTTATTATATTATAAGTACCTACTTAAGAGATTTTGAAACGTTTTATCGTGTCCCGCCCGTGACAATCATTTATAATTTTTTTCTAATGATGCCTAACAATAAAAAAATAAGTTTAACGTTTCAAACCTATGTTTAATGCCACAAAACTCTGAAGTACAGGTTGACTAAACACCATAATACTGTTGGTGGGCTAAGCGATGTAGTAAAAAATTTCGCGTGGCCAGCTCGAAAAGTCAAGATAAGCATTACTATCTTAGAGACGCCAGAGAATTCTATGATGAGGGTTGCTTAACAACAATTAAAAGTCAATATTAACAATTACCTGAAAAGTTCCAATCAAGAAAATCTAGAAGTTCGCGAAACTTATAAATTCAATCCAATAAATAGCCTTTAAGTGACAAAGATATACATATGTATCTGCTTACAAGTATTCTAATGCAGATAACTTTTCGGATTAGACATCGATACACAAGATCTTTTCTGACGTTCTATGGTTTTAAGGAATAGCTAAATTTGAGCATGATTTGTCCATGAAATCAGTTTCCAAAAATAACTCAACTCGAGCCACTCTTAAGCCGGTTACTCAATGTCTGGTCAACACTAACAGCAGGTTAGACATCTCTATCGACGTGATAACAGTAGTCGATATACATGTTT